CAAGGCTAGACAATATATAATCCGTTTTTTATTATTAAACACAAGGCTAGACAATATGTAATCCGTTTTCTGCTTAACGCGGGTATTGAAACCTTATTTTTAGCGTTATAAGTTCTTAGACTTACGTTGAGTCAGCGGGGGTGGGTGGGTGAGGGATACGATCTGTAGAGAATATCTCTTTATTTTATTTTGTTTGTATCTTATCTGCAAATAATGTCTTCCTTAATCTTTTGAAACGCTAGTAGTCAGGGGGTTAGTTCAGACACCGTTAGTTCAGATTAGCTGCCTCAGGGGGAGGGAAGGGAATAAATAGTTTTAGACTCCAAGTTACAGTCCTTAAAGTAACGTATACCTAGTTTTAGACTCCAAGTTACAATCCTTAAAGTAACGTATTCCTAGTTTTAGACTCCAAGTTACACTCCTTAAAGTAACGTATTCCTAGCTTTAGACTCCAAGTTACAGTCCTTAAAGTAACGTATTCCTAGTTTTAGACTCCAAGTTACAGTCCTTAAAGTAACGTATTCCTAGTTTTAGACTCCAAGTTACAGTCCTTAAAGTAACGTATTCCTAGTTTTAGACTCCAAGTTACAGTCCTTAAAGTAACGTATTCCTAGTTTTAGACTTCAAGTTTCAGTCCTTAAAGTAACGTATTCCTAGTTTTAGACTCCAAGTTACAGTCCTTAAAGTAACGTATTCCTAGTTTTAGACTCCAAGTTACAGTCCTTAAAATAGGGCAGTTTTAGCGATAAACTTCAAGTTTATATTAAAAACTTGTTGTATAACTTTGGTGCAGGAGTTATGAATATAAATTTCACTATTAAAAAAATCTATATGATTTGAACGAATTCTTAAAATTGAGCTTAAAGAGTTGTAGTATTGTAAATATACATGTTGTTGTTAGTTATATTTTCAATATTTTAACTAACATGTTTGTTTGCTAGAGAAAGTTAGGTATTGATAAGGCAATACCTAGGAATTTCACGAAAATAAAGGCCTGTGTAGAAACTTGAAGCTTCATGTAATTAGTATAAATTACAATATAATATAAACATCAAATTAACTAAATCATTCAGTTAATGAGTGATTCATCAGTTCAGTGCCAGTTAGTGAGTTAAATAGTGAGAGTTCGTCTATAACTCACTTAGCCGATGAATTAGTCAACGTGTTTGTCATTGGTTGATTAGCGAGAAAATTCTGCAAGTAAGTTTATAAGTTATGCGTAAAACTGTTTCGGAATTTCTGTTGAAACATTATTTGTGAAGTTAAGCCTACCAGTGAACGTAGCCTATATCAAACTTTATTGATGAAATGAACTAATAAGTGAACTGCACTTGGCAGTATTTATACCAAATAATCCAAATGAACTCGCCCAACGATGTAGCATGTTACAAGTATATAATACGTTCTTGTTATATATTTTGTTTGTTTGTTTGTTTTTAATTATGCACAAAGCTACACAAGGGCTATCTGTGCTCTGCCCACCACGAGTATTGAAACCCGGTTTCTAGCGTTGTAAGTCCGCAGACATACCGCTGTGCCTCTGAGGGGCCTTGTTATATATACATAGCATGTTAGAAATATTTATGGGAATTTACAAGAGCAATTAATCTGAAGATGTACAGTTTGGTTGCGCTCCAGTTAATACTGTAACTTTTTTAAATGTATCCTGAACATAGCTAATATATACAATTCTAATAAGATGTAATGTACTTATAATATAATACTGTTGTAGGATGTTTTCCTAATTGAGACGTTTGTATTGTGATTGGCTAGTGGGAGTTTTAACGTCATGTGAGGAGTGCATGGCTTCATAATTAGAATTTTATCGAAAGTTTAGTAAACAGTTTTAACGATAAAAACGCGTGTTAGGCGAGACTAGATTAGATTGTTGATTAATTATAAAGTCAGCCAATCAGTTGGTTTAGTGCCGTAAAGGTTTTAGTTTGTATTTCCAACGAATTAATATATATCTATGAGAAGTATTGTACCCACGAGAAAATTAACAAGTAAGTGTAATTTTTATTTTAAAGTTTTTCTTTTGTGAAGTTAGGCCTATCGTTAGTTACGTGGATTAAGGATTAAAACTTGTTGTCGAATAAATAAAACACTTTCGTTATCATTAGTCGGACTGGACTTTGCGTTGTTGTTATTATTATTTCATTTTCTTGCCAATAAATTCAGAAGAAATCCTCCACCAAAGTAATCACGTAAAAACATTCAATGGTTGGTAAATTCGTACATTTGAATGGGCTTATTGTTAACAATATTGAGAAATAAAAGATTTCTTACTGTTTATCATAAAATGTCTTCATTCTATACGCCCCCCCCCCTAGTAGCACAGCGGTATGTCTGCGGACTTACAACGCTAGAATCCGGGTTTCGATACCCGTGGTGGGCAGAACACAGATTAGCCCATTCAAACAAACAAACATTTTATACGGTGTACAAAGAGTGAGGTATTAAAAGGTGTTAAGTGTCTTATCTTTTATGGTATTAAAAGTACTGGATTTTTAAATGTGTTTTAACTTTTATATACGAGGTGTTAAAGGGGGTTTTTACTTTTTATCGTGTAATTAACATTAAGAGTTAAAATGTGTCTTAATTTCGATGTTGTGATAAATATTGGATATTAAAAGATGTATTAAGTTAGCATAATTTTGCTTGCTTCCTTTCCAATTTACTGCGAGCGAAATAAATTGTGTTTTAATTATCTTATTTTGTTATGCTTAGGTTTAATTTGCCGCATGATGTCGCTGCATCTAACAAACGAAGAAATCTGAAATATTAAAAAAAAAAGAACCTGTTTAATTACTAAAGATTAACAAAGGTTATTAGTTCTGTTCTAGCTTCAGCGGTAAATGTTTTTTTTTCTTGATGTAATTTATATGTAAAGCGTGTCGTTTCATTAAGATGTTAATGTTCATCATAGCACCATAGAATGTAAAATGAATCCATTGGTAACGAAGCGTCTACATCACTACACGACATAACTGACAGGAACTGTCCAAAAGTTGGAGTCTGGAGCTTAATGAATATGACAGGTCTTCACGTATTTCATGTCCAAACACTGTACACTATTACGGTTCAGGTTAAAGGACCGTTTATTGGAATTTCAGAATAGAAAAAAAAAAAAAACGTGAGTTGAGATTTCTTTCTGTTAGGGATTGGATACCTAATCTAACAAAACAACGCTTCAAATTATTATTTTTAACTTTTGGTAGAGTAAGATGGTTAACACCATTTATTTGTTCTTTTAAACGGATAACTATAATGAGTTGACGAGAATATTACGGTGTCAGAACTTCTACTAATAATGAAAAAAGAATTCCAGAATGGAGGTTTATTTTTTTAAATACTAAACTTATAATGAATATTTCATTAAACTGTTATCTCTTCAGGTTTTCGAACTGCCTAAGCTATGGACATGATGGTCACATCTTCATCAGTGTTCTGTAGGAATGTGTATTTCACATCTTAATCAGTGTTCTGTAGGAATGTCTTCCACATCTTCATCAGTGTTCTGTAGGAATGTCTTCCACATCTTCATCAGTGTTCTATAGGAATGTGTATTTCACATCTTCATTGGTGTTCTGTAGGAATGTCTTCCACATCTTCATCAGTGTTCTATAGGAATGTGTATTT